ATGTATATTTTTTACTAAAATTAACCTTATTGTGTCAGCAAACAAAACTTAATGCATGTCTAGTCTCACAGTCTAGATTTCATAAATATAAGAATTTTAAACTTGATAAACTACTGGAATTTTAGGTAGAATTGCTGCCCATGTTGAAAGTACAAGCACCACTTCACCCTGAAGATTAATAAAGAAATTATTGAGATAGCCAGATAAAAGGGTGGGATTTTGAGAACTGGGTATTAATTTGATTGAGAAAGCTCAGCTCAGAGAATTTAAAAAATGCAGTAATTTAACACAGTGAGGATGACTAGAAGCACTAATCCATTTACAAACATTTCATAGCAACACAGATTTTTGAGTCTGGAAGGGATTAATGTTCCCATTCCTCAGACCTGGAAAGGATGACATAGGCTGAAGATGTTAATTCAGGAGCTCCTGATTCAGCCACAACTAGTGGCTGAGCTAAAACATATCATGTAAATGACTGTATATCTGATTTAGAGGCTTCTGCCTGTATTAATCATCATTTACTGTCACTACCAATGTATTTGCCAGTTGTCCTCAAATATATCTTTTTTATAGTTTAATACAAGCAGATTGAGAGAACCAGCAGATGTTACTCAGAGACTTAGAATCATTTGGGTTGGAAGAGACCTTTAAAGTTCATCTAGTTCAACCAACATGCAATGAGCAACATCTTCAACTAAACTAAGTTTCTCAGAGCCCCATTCAATTTGACGTTGAATGTTTCCAGGGATGGGACTTCTACCGCTTCCCTGAGCAACCTGTTACAGTGTTTCATGACCTCATAATAAAAAAAAATTTCCTTATATAGAATCATAAAGTCATGGAATAATAGCCATAAAATCATAGAATTGCTTTGGTTGTAAGGGACCTTACAGATCATTTACTTCCAACCCCACTACCATGAGAAAGGGACATCTCCCATTAGACCTTGTTGCTGTAAGCCTCATCCAACCTGCCTTAGAACACTTCAAGTAGTACGGCCCCCATCACTCCTCTGAGGAACCTGTTCCAGTGTCTTACCAGCCTCACAGCAAATAATTTCTTTCTAATATTTAATCTAAATCTACAATCTCTCAGTTCAAAACCATCACCACTTTGTCTTTCTGGGCTGCAAGAGCACATGGCCAGCTCACGTTGAGCTTCTCAACAAACACCAACAAGTCCTTCTCCTCAGGACTACTCTCAATCTCTCAGCCTCTGTTCATGCTTGGGACTGACCTGACCCAGATGCGGGTCCTTGCACTTGGCCTCATTGAACTTTTTGAGGTTCACACAGTCCCACTTCTCAAGCTTGTCCAGGTCTCTGGATTGCATCCTGTCTCTCAGGCACATCCACCACAACACTCAGCTTGGTGGTGGCTGCAAACCTGCAGAGATTGCACTCAATCCCACTATGTCATTGATTAATACATTAAATAACACTGGTCCCAGTAAGAATCCCTGAGGGTCACCGCTTGTCAATGATCTCCATATGAACATTGAGCTGTTGACCACCACCTTCTGGGTGCAACCTTCGAGCCACCAATTCCTTATCCACCATTCCTCATTCTACCCATCAAATCCCTCTCTCTCTCAATTTTAGAGAGAAGGGTGTTGTGGTGGACCATGTTAAAGGCCTTGCAGAAGTCCAGATAGATATCTGTAGCTCTTTCTTTGTCTGTGGATGCAGTCATCACATCATAGAATGCCACGGGGCTGGTCAGGCAGGACATGCCCCTGGTCAAGTCATGTGGTTTGTCTCAAATCCTTTATGAGCCCTACCGTTGCTTCTAGGAGGATCTGTTCCATGATCTTCCCATGCAGAGGTGAGGCTGACAGGTCTGTAGTTCACAGCGGCCTCCTGGCCACCTTTTTAAAAAATGGGTGCAATGTTTCCCATTTTTCAGTCACCAGGGACTTCACCTGACTGCCATGACTTTTCAAAATTCACTGAGAGTGGCTTAGCAACTACATCAGCTTATTCCTTGTGGACTCTCATCAGGTCCCATAGACTTATGCATGTTCATGTTCCTCAGCTAGTCATGAATCTGACTTTGTCTTACAGTGGAAGTTGTTGAGTACCTCAGCTTTCTCCTTCTCCATTGTTACCAGTTTAACAATTGTGTTTGTTAGGGTGGGGAATGGTTTCTTTGACCTCCCTTTTCTGGCTGATATACCTGTAGAAGCCCTTCATGTTATTCTTTGCATCCCTTGCCAGGTTCAACACTAGCTGCTCCTTGCCTTTCCTGAGCCCATCCCTACACAACCAGCCAGTGTCCTCGTACCCTTCCCAGCATACCTGTCCTTGCTTCAACTGCCTGTGCAGTTCCTTCTTGCCCTTTAGTTTGACCAGCAGGTCCCAACTCAGCCATGCTGGTCTCTTGCCTTCTTTGTCTGATAACTGACACCTGGGGATTGACAGCTTTTGTGCTTTTTGGAAAGTGTCCTTGAATATCTGCCAGCTCTGTGCTGCTCCCTTGTCCCTGAGGGCAGTTTCTATGGTGGTTCTATTGACAAACTCCTTCAACAGCTGGAAGTTTGCTTTCTTAAAATCCAGAGTCCTGACTTTACTCTTTTCCTGTCCCACATCCCTCAGGACTGTGAACTCCACCAGTGCGTTATCACTGCAGCCAGGCTGCCTCCAATCTTGCCGTCACCGATTAACTCACTTGCTCTGGTGACCATCAGGTCCAGTATTGCTTCGCCTCTGGTCTGTTACCTGGCTGAAGAAGTTATCCTTGATGAACTCAGTCATCTGGTTTGTCTACACCTTACTATGCTACTTTTCCAGCAGATGTCAGAGTAGTGAAATCATCACAGGACAAAAGCCGGTGAGCTTGATGCCTCCTGCAGCTGGAGTAAGAAGGCTTCATCACTAGGCTCCCCTTGCTTGGGTGGCCTGTAGTAGACACCAACCACAAACTTCCCTTTGTTGCCTAAGTCTCTAGCTATTATGCAGAAGCTTTCAACCTGCTCGTGCCTATTCTTCAGAGACAGCTCTTCACACTCTGTTTCTTGATGTAGAGGGCAAAGCCTTCACCCCTCCTTCCTCACCTCTCCCTTCTGAACAGCCTGTAGCTGTTGATAGCCACAGCATTGATAGCCAAGTTTTAGTAATGGTAACCATGAGATAGCTTTCTAGCTACATGGTGGCTTCCAGCTCCTCCTACTTGCTGGCCATGCTGTATGCACTGGTGTAAAGGCACTCCAGCAGGGCTGTTGTCCATGGTACCTTCTTAGAGGCAGATCCCTTAACTCTTCTGATATTTCACTGATGTTTCCCTGTTGGCTCCTATTATCTCAGGAGCCCCTGTCTCAACTCCATAACATTTCAAGTGTGCTCCAGTGTATCCAGCACATTCCAGAGCAACAGGCTAAGGGGCCTCACAACCACTTCATCCCTCAAAACTTTGTGCATCATACCATGGCTTGTTATGAGCATGCCTGATGTTATTCTACTTCCCCTTCAAATCTAGTTTAAAGTTCTGCCAATGAGCTCCACAAGATCTTGGGCCAAGGCCCTCTTCCTCCTTTGAAAGAGAACTGATGCCAGCAAGCCTGGTGCCATCTAGACCATTCTGTTATGGAAAACCCCAAAATTCCACTGGTGACACCAGCTATGGAACCATGTATTAATAGACTGGATGTGCCTGTTTCTTACAATATCACTGCCTGCAACTGGAAGGAGAGAGGAAAAAATTGCCTCTGCTCCAGACTCCCTCACCAGACCCAAGGTCCTGAATTCTCTTTTGATCACCCTTGGACTACGTCTTGCATCTTCATCACCACTCATATGGAAGAGCAATAAAGGGTAACAGTCCAAGGGCTGTGCTAGGCTAGGAAGTTTCCTAGGAGCTAGGATGCTAGGAAAGCTGAGATAGAAGAATGAATATAAAATAGCAGCTCTGATCAACACATTTTAACTTTATGGGCATACGTATCCTTCAACTATAGATTATGCAAAATAAAATAATTGCTTTCTGATTATCGAATGTGTTCATCTATCTTTTCCGAAGCTTCTCTCACCTTCACAATTATTCCACTTTACTTCTCCCATGTACTCAATTCTCTTTTACCTCCTTCCATGTTGCCTTCTTTCACAACATATCTTCCATGTCCTCTTTGTAGCTGTACCCTTCACAAAATAACCTTACCTTCTAGAAAGAAAAATATTTAGACGTTCCCCACCATATTTCATATTATCTCTCCAACCATTATGTCTGTGTTTTGTAGCCATAACAAAAGCTGTCTGCAGGAGAGACCATAATTTCTCTGTTATATGTGTCTAATAAAACATGATCATGAATTTTGCCAGTGTTTGGGTACTACCTCAGTGAATGAGCTATTCAAAGCAGAATGAGCACAAAAGTTTTGACAAAATAATGAATTTCTCTGTGTTTACAGAGTTTCCTGTGCCTGGGGGAAAGGTAACCATAAATAAAAATGTAGCTTTTAGCCTGTAGCTGTAGTGTTAGGTTTGCTAGGGCAAAACACAACTTTATAAAAGGCATAGCTAGAAATGCATGAAAACATGAGCTTATTTTCCAATCAGTTTTCTTTTTCATAAGTTAAAAAAAAAAAATCCATTTTTCTTTCCAAAACATTAGACTAGGAAGATAAATCCTCTCTTCCCATCCCAGAAATCTTGAGGAATTCCTGAAATTACATAGTATTTCTTGAGTGAGATACTAAACTTACCAATGTAAGAGTTTACTGACATTAATCTTAATTAAGAAAATGAAAGATTTTGCAGGGGAGTGTAAAAGAAACTTAAAAATATACAGGTTTTCTATGTTTGATTTCAGGTCTGCAGAGACAAGAAAGAACTGATTTATGCCATTTACCTCCACTTTCTATGAAAGCACACCCTGTGACAGTGAGATTAGGGGTGGTTTAAAGTTAATAGCGTCAGCAGGTCTAGAAATAAAGTGAAAGTTCAGAAAAACACTGTGAAATGCAAAGCAAGATGGCAGATGTTCACTGTAGAAATCAAACCATACTTCAGGACAGACAGCTTCTTTTTCATCTTCCATGGCTTGTTTCGTAGTGTGGCAATTAGTTTCTTTTTTTCTTCTACCTCTTCTTTCAGTTTAGCCAGCTCTTCCTCTGTAATCGGCTCTTCCTCAGAGTCAGAATCGGAGCTTCAAACAAAAGCAGGGGGAAAAAAGTCACCAAAACTGAGAAAGGACAAACATTTTCAGTGTTAATTGTATTTAACTTAGAGACTACATAAATGCTTCCACTCTTACACAGAAAGGAGGAAACAGTTCATTTAGAGTTTTTATTAATTTTAGTATGAAAGGCAAAGCCTGCACATGAAGAGCAGAGCCCTGACTGAACCAGCACTACACTCAGAGCATCCCACAGAGAGTGGGCAGCTCTACTGGGGAGGTGCCTGCCAGCCACTGATGGCTCCTGTGGGAGTAACCAGCCTCCTCAGAGTCCAATCCAAACTCACAATGTGCAAGTGAGGACACTATCACTGAAGCCATAAAGAATGAACTTATTCAACTACTTCAATGTGCCACAGGAGACAGAAGAGACATGACAGCCACAACAAAGCTAAGTTTAAACACCAGAAGACAGCCCATTCACTGGTCAAGGCAGTAAAATTTTAGAATTGGGAAAGATTCAAAACCCTGTTGCAGCAAGGCTGTGATGTGTTCTGGTACTTAATTCTAGCAGATGCCATAGTGATGGGAGCTACAGATGCTATGAATTTATCCATGCACTGATTTGTAGTATCCTTGGAAAGCGTTGCTGATTAAGGCAATATCCACTATCCTAAACCCTGTATAGATATCTTTTTCTAAGAGGAATCTTACATCTCAAATAAAGGCATGTAATAAATCATTATCAACAGATGTTTCCTCTTCTTATATCAGCAAACAGGAAAATAATAAAAAGGAAATTATTAAACTCTGACTTCCTGCCCTAAAAAACTGACAGTGACAATTACTACTAATAAGTTCTTAGTAGAAGTAGTTTGATGCATTTCTATTTCTTTGTTGTACTGGGTTTTTTTGCCATTTTTCTGATTTGAATGTTTGAAAATTTATTGTGGGGTTTTCATTTTTTAAAAAAATAGTTTTCTAGTTTGTTTTGGGAATGGTTCAGTCCAGCTTTATCACACAAGCCATTTGCAGGAAGTTTTGCTTATAATTCACCTTCCTGGGAGCTTGATATTCAGAAGCTGATGTCAGAGCTGAGTGATTCATTACCTAAGTCACCTAATTCTATAGTTTCAGTCCTCTGGGTAACTTTTTTTCCTACCAAACCAGGTGACAACTGTAGTTAAAGATTATTGTGGCATGAAGGACAAAAAGGTTTATCAGCAAGAAAAATTATGAAAAGTGTTTTTTTTTAAAGAGTTACAGTAAAAACAAAATTAATTTTGTAATAAAGCAAAATACAAAATTCTCATTGGTCATTTGCCTGTAGTTTCGATGAAATACACATCATTATAGAAAAAGTTATAGAGGATCAATTTAAAATTTTCAGACACATAGGAATAAATTAGCAAAAGAAAGAAATAAGTTCTCTTAGTTATCAGATGCCCTGTTATTAAAGACTCTAATGGTATTTATTGAAAATACTGTCATGTTAGAAAGCTGAACCCATCATTCATGAAGTTTCAGACTTCATGTGATAAAAAGCAATGTCGCAGAAAATATAAATCTATAGGACAAATGACTGCTGTAGAACACCAGACATATTTATTGTTATTCTGTTGCAGCAAACAAGTGAAAAATCATATGAAAACTTAAGTCAAATGGATGAAGGTCACTAAAAAGATTTGTGCATTAAATTGTGAGGCATTATCATGCAAAAAGAGTCCTGTCTTTACAAGAACAGAAGGACTAAAGGAGAGCTTAAATCCTTAGTTGATAAAATTAGCTGTTTTGCACCATGCAAAACAAAAATAAAATGCTCAATATAAAGGATTTCCTTTAACAGAAGATTGCCAGGCTATGCAAAACTGAAATATGTAGTTTTACAAGACTGCAGTGGGAGCAGTGGGAAATACGAGTGGTAGGTGCTAATGCAGTGAGCTTACTGAAGAAAGGAAGCTGAGAACAACAAAAGAAGTAAAGCAGCGGTAATACTGGCTCTTTTGTGTATTGCCCATTACAACGTTGTCTTTGCAAACACATCTTGTCTTGCATTTTTCACTTTACTTTAGAACCAGGAAAATACTAAGTCCAAATTTCTAAACATCTCTCAGAAATCTGCATTTTTAACAGCGTTTACACTAAGCAATGAAATTTTGTGCTGTTACAGAAGATTTTCCTTTTAGCTTGAGTGTTTAGGCACTATGAGATTCAGGTCAGGAAATCAAAACTCTTTCTTCTGGAACAAAACTCAGCCTTTCACGAAAGATTGTGACTCCTGCATTATAAGGCCAGAAGGGTTCACTGTGGCATTCAGCCTAAGACAGAACATAAAGCAACACTACATTATTTCAAATCAAGCAGCCATCTTCCTTGACTCGAATTCAGTGCATCTTCTCCTAAGTCAGTAAAGCTGTCAAAAATAGCTGCACTCCCTTCAAGTGCATACATAATGAATTTGCTCATAACATTGATGTGTTTTCGTTTTATGCCCATACTATACACCTGTGTTTTGGCTTTAGTTTCATTTCCTCTTTGCTGCTCTAAGTGGTTTATGAAATCTATTTTTCTCATTATTTTTTTTAAAGCCGTGCTATAAAGGGAAAAATTATTATGAAAATATGTTCTTGGAGCTTCACTGTTTTCAGGGAAAAAAGCTAGCAGGACTTTAAGAGTCTAGTGTGATGAGTGAATAAATTTGGCTACATTACTTCCTAGTTCTTTGTGAAAATTCTATTTTATTGATAATCCCCATAACATTCCCTGGCACTCAGTGGTCTTGATCAACTGTCCTGCGAGCAAAAGATGCAGTGCCTGTACTGCTTTAATACTCCATGTACCTCTGGAATTTTGCATAACCTTTATATTCCTGACTAAGCCTACTACCACTTGATCTGCTCACATATAGACCTAAACTGTAAAAACAGGAATCACACAGAATATAAGATACCTTCTCTGAGGATTGGTACCTCAGATGACTGCATTCAGTTTCTAAGACAAAACAGTCACAATTAGACAAGTGAGTAAAGAAGAAAACAGCTTTTGAATCTGGGAATATCACAGGTCTTCACAGTGAGACTACAAGGATCAATTTATTATATTTGTGGGATCATGCTTATGAACAGTGTAGAGCTGTTCACACCATTATTAGCAGTTAAGGATCAACCACATCAACAACCAATAGCATCTAAGAGCAGAACATATAAAATTCAGTCAGAAATAACTCCATTCACCATGGAATTACCCTGTAAAACTCACTACCACAAATTAGCAGAGATAAAATAATCAGGTTAAACAAAACAAACAAACAAAAAGCAAAATAAAAACAATTGACACTGAATTAATCTAAGATTCCTCTATTTCCTCTATGCAGAACAATTAGGGCATAAAGAGGTTTCCCTAATCTAAGTAAAAAGTAGAGGAGGTAAAGATGGTTACAGCACCAGATTCTACTGATTTCTACTGTGACCTAGGCAAAATGGGCACTGTTTATAGAGTTTAGCAAAATCCAAAATGTTAACAGCAAGTACAATATCATATCCTATAGAACGATATCCCTTTCAATTTTACTTGTTTCTTCTTTTTTTTTTTCCCTTTTTTTTTTTTTTTTCTTTCTCAACTTCTTATTTTACTCTTATCATACTGTTTCATGCTGAAATGTTTTGGCAATTAAACAGCTACACCAGCAAGTTGTACTTTTAAAGAGTACTTATTTTTGATAGGTCCTCACAGATTTACTAGGTGGGCTGTATTTATAGTTTGCCACCTTTCTGTTCTGTCCTCCAGGTCCACAGATCCTTTATTGGAATTACAGCTGAACTGATAGCCAGCCTATTCACAAATGTGGTCCTCCAGAGATGGGTATTTGGAGCATAAGTGGCCTAGATGTTGGGATCAAGAGCACCCTAGTGAAGTTTGCTGACAACACCAACATGATACCCTCCAGGAAGCTTATGAAGTTCAGTGGGGATAAGTGGAAATTCCATATGGTAGCACATTACAGTATTTAAAGGGTGGCTACCAGGAAGATGGAGACTCCCTGTCTACAAGGAGTCACATGGAAAAGGGGAAATGGGCTCACGCTGATCCTTGGGAGATTCTGATTGGACACAAGAGGTAAATATTTCACCATGAGGACAGTCAAACAGTAGAATAGTCTCCCAGGGGAAGTGGGGAATTCTCCCCGATTGAACAGTTTTAAGTCTCAGCCTGACAGGGTGCTGAGCCATCTCATATAAACTATAGCAGTACCTAGAAAGATGGAAGCAGATGGTCCTTGAGGTCCATTCCAATCTGCTGTTCTATGATTCTATTATTTTATTACAATAGCATGAGAAGCAACAAGGAGCAGCAGAATACCAACATGGCAGAAAATAAAAAATTATTTTCTGCAGTGTCCTGTGTCAGTGATGTCTTCCAAAGACCTCAGGTTGCATTAAACATTTTGGAAATGTGAACAGTAATATTTAGAGGCAAAGAGTGCAAGACAGTCCTTGATTCTGGGTATTTGAAATTTTGGCACTAAAATTTATAAAAAGCTAGCTCAAACCTGACTGGGAAACAAGAACTTAATCTTGTGAAAAGTGTCAACATTTTAGTTATGCACTGGAAATAAAATATTATTTGGTTGGGGGGTTTTTTTGGTTGTTTTTTTTGTTTGGTTGGTTGGTTTTTTGAGTCTTCAGGGATCTTAGTTTTGGGAAAGGATCTCACTTGTCATTACGTCCCTCTGTCATTTACTGCCCATCTCTTTCACTTTCACTCTTTCTCCAGAGAATAGCTCATAAATTTAGGATACTAAACTACACTAAGTACTCTGGCTTGAGTTTGGTTCCGGCTGACCAGATTTTACCTAATCCTCAGGGTACCAGCCACCCCAGAAGGGCCTGGTTGGTCATTTTCTGAGATCCAACCCTGGACCTGTGATAAACCCCTCACTTCGTTCCACTGAAGTTAATAAGGCTTTTTGGAAAGTTTCCATTTCACTCAGCCAGCATTTCCTCATTGCAGGAAAAAAAAGAAAAAGCAAACAACAATCTGGAAAATTAAAGTAGGTTTTATGTAAGATAAACATGGTTCTATATTAAAAACTTAATTTACTGAATTACCCAGATCCTGATTTCTTTTTGTCTTTTTTCTTTTTGTTGGCCTTCTCTTTTTTTCCTTTCTTATCAGACTTTTTATCTTGTTTCTTTTCATTTTTGCCTTTCCCACTTTTACCAGGTTTCTCATCTTCCTCCTCTTCACCATCTTCCTTGGATTTTTGATTTGCCTGGTTCTTCCTGTCTTTTCCAGGGTCCACATCAGAATCACTGCCCTCATTTCCAGCTGCTCGTCCTCGTCTACGGTTTCTATTTCTGCGTTGCCCAGCTCTCCTGGCCTCATCTTCATCATCCTCACCCTCGTTCTCCTCACCACCACGCCTGGTTTTTCCTCTGGCATGTCCCCTTCTTGGTCTTGGTTTTGCTCTCCTTCGCCCTTTATCTAGAAAACCGGAAAAAAAAAAACAAAAAACCCAAAACAAAACACACAAACAAAAAACCCAAAAAAACACAAAACACCACAAACCACCTGAGAGAATGTAACATGTCAGAAGGAAAGCTTTTACCCTCCTTCATTCATACAGCTGATCAGAAAACATCTGAGTGTGGCTTTAAAGTAGTCCAAACTACTGACCTGTTCCTTTGAGATTTTCCTCATTCTCAACTGCGCTGCCTTCTTCATTGTCAACATCACTGCCATCTATGAAGTGAAAACAAAGGCCAGGACATGTGAAGCGTGGATCAATCATTAGGAACATAGCCGGGGGCTAAGAAATTCTTGGCAATCACAACTTTGTACTCCCTTACACCATTTCATCAACCTGGCTTTTTGGAACATGGCAAATAGTTCTCAAGAAATAAGATTAAGATGGAGAAAATAATTAAATTTTTCTTCAGTACACCAAAGTGATGCCATCAAGAACTCCCTCTCACAGAAGAAACATGCAGGACAGAAGGACCCTCAAAAAGAAACATAATAGCAATATCCTAAGATTTGGAAAAGAACAATGAAGATGAAAATTCTTCTCAGGCAATGCTCAGGGATTTTCTTAAACCTGTAAAAGATAGGCACTGGCTGAGATTAAAAAAGATTAAAAAAATCTTTTTCCTATTTGTCTGATTGGAGGGCATGAAGCTTCCTAGCTGCATCATGGCTGAAGAGCACAGTCCCATAAGAAAGAGGAGACATGCTCTCAGTTCCAGCAACAAAATCCTCCAAGCACAGTGACAAGAATTGACCCAGCTGACTCGTATGCTGTACCACAGTTCTCTTCCAGCTTTCCAGAAATAATAAAAACGTTGGAGACTTGAGAGACACATTTGTTTACAGAAGCAAGTAGCACTTCTGCTCAGAAAATTCTTTGGTTTGTGGTGGATCTTTTGTCAAAGTTTTTCATTATCAATACGTTCAACAAGATATGCTATCTCCACTGTCCATCAATGACCAGAAAAGTATCCAACTCGTTTGTTTGGGACACTTTGAAACTGGGATCATGCATGTATATAAAAGACAAATACTCCTCTTTCTCATGTGCATTTTATACACTGTAATATTTAATTAATACACTTGCTGCAATAATTGGCACTCTTGAGGAATTTTTGAGCTTGTACATGTAGGATAGCACTTGAGACACATTAGTGAAATATATTGACATACATGGTAGGAGAAAATGAATGAGAAGATGAATAAATATTATGATGAATAGACATAGAAAGCTGTAATTCCACTCCTTTATACCATGAATGTTCCAAATGTATGTTGTCTAGTTTCCCCTCTCCACAGGCAGGACAGGTGACATGTAATGATCCTGTGATAATTGCATGTCTCAGACAAGAAGAAACTACAGTTACCTTCCTTCTTCACTGATCTGTAAAACTTTTGAATTTTTCTCTTCATATTCTTTCTCCATCCTTTCCTTAATTCTCTGGTTCCTTTTATAAGTTTTATTAAGTCACTAGTGATTAACTGAAAACTTATACATAGATCAATTTATGTAGGGACTGCTTTAGTTACACCAGTCACAACTTCTTAGCTTTATCCAGTATCAAAGAAAATAGTAAAATATGTAAGGCTGCAAGCAAGAAGGAATCTAGGGTCTTGTTTCACTGTGTGTGCAGTAATGAGCGAAGGGTTATTTTTGTAAAATTTGACAGGCATTTTAAAACTGGAATACATGTAGGCAGTCTGAGTTCCCTCCACAAAACATTTCATTGTAATTATATTTTCTAACTTTTCCAAATAATCTGTACAATATTTTTTTTAAGATTGTGGAAAACGGTATTGTTCAATATCATCAGTGCAATGTGAAAATAAGTGCTCCTTCGTTTTGTTTAGACATATGCCTCCTGCTGTTGACAGTAACAGGATCTCCACTTGAAAAAGATCATTCTGTTGCTATTGAAAGCCTGCAAAGATGAAGACAGACATCTCTAAAGAGGTATTTTGCATGCAACAATAGAGCACGGTCTTTTATCACAAATAGTGCTTTTGCTGATATCCTCCAACCAAACAGCACTTCAGTGGTACAAGACTGACCTCACTGCAGATTCTGTTAAGCACATAGAACAAGCAAACAGCTGCAGGTTTATCATATATACTGAAATAAGCATTAGCAGTGAAAGTGTATCATGCTCAGGCTGACGTCATATTGGCATAACAGTGAAAGTGATAATGGACTATGAAACGCAGAGGCTTAAGCAGGGAATGAGTCAGATCTTGGGGTGATCTTGGGGTTTAATTAATTCTACTAACAGCAGGGTCACAAACACACCAGTTTTAATATAATATATCAGGTTAAAAAAACAAAAAACCAAAAACCAACAAACCTTTAAACTAATCAATAGAGTTCAGACTGCTTGAAGCAAGTATTGGGAACAAAACTAGATAGGTGTGTATCTGAATTATGACTCCTGCATGTTTATGTCTTTTTTTTCATCTAAATCCTCAGGCACACCAGTGATCAAGAAAAAGATTTTAAAGAAATTAAGAAAGACCACAAAATCAAACAGAAGTATTTATTGCCACAAGGCAAGTGTAGAAAAAGTGACAATGATTACATGGAATCGTGCAGCTAGAAGAATGGTGGGTGCTACAAACACCATTTAAAATTATAGTTCCTGAACATTCAGAACTTCAGAACATTCCTGCCTCCACAGGTGGATGCCCGTAAAGAGATTAAATGCATTGAAATGAAGAATGTTAGAGGTTTGTCCATTTCATTCTGCTGTATCAACAGAATAAGAGATTTCTGTCAGGTCTTGGGGTATGATGCTGAAAGCATAATGCTAGAATTTATTTTAAAAAGAAGCTGAAAGCCTAGGAGGACAGGCCAATCCTCCAGTTTTCTCACACTAATTTATTTCATGAGCTGTGTCACTAGCATAAAAGCTGAAGCTCAGGGTAGAACTAAAAGTTATTCCCATGTGTTAGCTGCCATGGCAGCTGGTGCTGTTTAGGAGGAAAAAAATCACTGAGGAGGGACAATGAAGGAGCTTTACCACCCCTGAGGTCTACTCTGAACAATGTATAAGCATGCATGCATGCAAGCTACATAGCTACCCCTCACTGCACCCACACTACAGCTACCCCAGGAGACTTGTAATTCAGACAAGCTGTATTAATAACTGTCTTCTTGTGTTTGGGGGTTTTGCACACATCATGAAAAGACCAATGTTGTTATTTGGTTGGATATTTGAGCAATAAGAGTGATAAATATTAATTATTGCATTTAACATCATCATTATCATTATTATTAATATTGTTGATATTAAGTAATTAACTCTCTCACACTTTTCAAAGAGAAAAGCAAGAGGCTAGGCACCTCATAACTCAGCACTTCAGCCACTTGTGGAAAGCCCTGCCTTGTTGAATTATTGGAGAAGCATTTCAATGATACACAAATTACGTTTCATGGTAACACTAAATCTAAATGCAGTCTGGCACTAAAACTAAATGTTCTTTTTTAAGTCACAACATAAAAAAACAATAGAGTGCATTCCTCAGGCACTTTATTATCCTATAGGAAAACTCAGGAGCATTTTTGATGCTCTGGTATATTAACATTGAAAAACATATAATCTTTGATGCAGGAACAAAATCAATAGTATGTGGGATCATTTTAGGTCTACAAACTTGTCTTCTGCTTTTTTAAACAGATCTTCATGGGATCCCATTTACCAAAAGTTCAGAGAATCCCCCACTAAATTCAACTAAGCCTGACTAAAGCTCTCTCTAGAATTACTTGTGGTTCCAGAAAAGGGTTGATAGGACCTAATTTCTTTACATTATTAATATTCATAGGGTTAATATAAGGTTATCAGGCTTTGTGTCACCTACCTTGAGTTAAACCTCAGATGTTTCATCTTCCAGAATGCATCATCCTGCCCCAATAACACTAATATAATGAAGTTTATTTGGAGTTATAATCCATAACTCCTTATGTTCTAGGAAACCCAATCACTTTCTGATTTTTTTTTCCACAGTAGTTTACAGGAAACTTTCTCATCTTTCTAGACTAAGGGCAGGGAAAGTGTAATCTGAGTAAGCTATCATTTTACTTGAAGTCTTATTTATGTTTTAGACTATAGACGCAAATGAGCCAACAAGACTAAAGGAGGGCGTCCTGAACATGGGCTCAGACTAACCTGCAAGCCAGACACTGTGGTGAAGACAGAACATCAAGTACCTCAGGCGAGAGCTCAAAATGTTACTGGTGAGGAAATTAAGGACATAAAAAATGCATAAAACTGTAGGAGTGATTGGTATATGAGTTGGCCATTTAGCTGATTGTGGGATCTGTTACATCCTTATTTTCCCATGCTGCTTGTACAGCTCACTTATCAGAGGGTACTACTGTGATTTCATGTTTTGAGGGTTTGTTTTTTTTTAAGTTGTTTTATACTGACAAAGTTTCTTTGATCTTTCACTGTAAGTGAGACAATGATTCTTAGAGTTACCCCATAAAATATGGCACACTGTTGCAATATACTGCTCACATTACTATGTAAAACTGTCTGCTGCTAAGAAATTCTGCATGCTGGTGCCATCAAAACAATTCAGTGGTAGGTATGTAAAGTAATACATAATCCAAAAAAACTCTGTAGGACTTTTTGTATGTGTTACAAAATAAATTTCTACTTTCTTAATTAATTGTCAAGCCAATGAAATGTCTCATATGCAGGTAGAGTCTTGCATGCAATTATTGTGTCTCCCTCTGGACTGAACCATGTTGCACTTTTTTCAGTGCTCGAAAGACATCAGACTAGACACCTAATAAACTGTGTGCCCAACATGTAGAAATGTTAACAATGCAAGATCACATTAGAATACAAAAATATGTAACGATCAGTTTAAAAGAATAGGAAGAGTTGTATAATATTCAATTATTTATATTTACATACATTTCCATATTATTGTGTCTGATCACATAAATATGAGAGTGTCTCACAACTCCTCTATGAAATATTTCTAGTAGAAATAACAGCTGTGAAACACATGAAAAATTATATACCGAGATCTCACTGAAAGTCTATGGGAAGAGTAAATTGATGCAGACTCCAACACCCAAGATTCGAGACCTTAATACTATAAACCCCATACTCTTAATATATTTCCAAACTTTGAGAAAAACATCTTGGTCCACCTTGGGTACAGGAAAAGGGGACTTGAAACACAGCAATTACAAATAAAAATTGCATTTATAGATCAACCAGAAGGCATAGTATTTGAGATGATGTTTGATTTTTCTTCTACGTTTTT